TGGGCCCGTGAGCCACGGCCGCTGAGCCTGCGCGTCCGGAGCCTGTGCTCCGCAACGGGAGAGGCCACAACAGTGAGAGGCCCGCGTACCGCAAAAAAAAAAACAAAAAAAAGAAAACAATCTCAAAAGGTCATGTATGATAATGATATGATTGTTTATATAAACTTCTCGAAATGACAAAATTATGGAGAAGAATAGATTAGTGGTTGCTAAGGGTTAAGGATGGTGGGGGAGGGGAGATGTGACTGAAGAGAGAACACTGGTGAGATCTTTCTGTTGATGGAAAAGATCTGTATCTTGGTTGTAACGGTGGCTACAGGAATCTAGGCGTGATAAAGTAACAGAACAATACAGACACTTTATACCAATGTTGATGCCCTAGGTGTGATATTGTATTGTAATTAGGTAAGATGTGACTATTGGGGAAAACTGGGTAAAAGGTACCCCTGACTTCCTTGTATTGTTTTTGCAACTTCTGGTGAATCTATAATTATTATTTTTCTAAGTTCTTTAGGCTATATAGACATAGGCATCTTAGGATTGGTAGGTAGACAATATTCATGCTTATTAATTAATGCCTTATGAGAAAACACTGCCCAATATGGATGCATTTCATACCCCCTGCACCAACAGGCTATGAGGTGTTGTACAGAGTTTAATTTTCCATACAACACAAACTTACCTCTCTAAATAATGTTAAGACATGTCATGGGCATTTTGCCAAAATATATTAACATTGTCCCTGCTTTTTTTGCCCAAACAAAAACATAAGGCAGAATTCAATACCAGGGTGAGTTCAGGGATTGGAGACTTGCCAGGCAGTCAGCTGCAAATATCGACTTCCTTTATTTTCTTTGAAGAAAACTCAGTTCTTATTGAATCAGAATGTTTATTAAGCAAATGAAATCTTTATTAAAAAAAAAAGACTGGTGAAAAATATCCTCTCCTCCCCACCAGACCCGTGCAGCCTTCTGTTGGAGAAATTCTTCAGGCTCCACCAAGGGGGGCAAAGCCAAGAACAGAGCAGGAGCCAGGTGTTTTGGACTGAGGATTCAGCGGTCACTGTTGTTGCTGGGCTCTTAGGAAAGAAATGTATTTTTGCACCCATGCTTCCTTCGGTGTTGCACAGATTTTCTGGCCTCTTTTGGTGGTGAATCTATGGGAAAGAGATGCTGACAGTCAATGCTAAAAACTTCTGTCTCCCGGAAAGGGATGGAAACGGAGGGGCAGCCCCCCACCCCAATCTTCTTGCTCGCTCTGCTGTAGCCCTGCTCCCTCTTCTGGCCCTTGACCTCCCTCTTCTCTGCTATCCTGTTTTCCACTGGAAACCACACTTCCTGGCCCACTTTCACCAGGAAAGATGTAACAACGGCTCTGGTCTGAAGCAGGTAATCTGCACCGTGCCTCTTAACTCTTTCGTTTTACTATAACAGTTTTGTTGGGATATAAGTCACTAATTTGCCCACTTAAAGTGTACACTCATAATTCATTGGTTTTAGTATATCAATAGATGATGCAGCCATCACCATGATCAATTTTATAACATTTGTATTGCCCCGCAAAGGAACCTCTTACGTATTGTACCACTTAATTCTTAATCACATTATCATGGGTTGTTAGCCACGGCTGCTTATATGGATATGATTCCTGCCTTCCTTACCACACCGTGAGCTCATTAAGACTGGGGGTTGTGGTTGATGTCCCTGAATGGCTTCCAGCCTTTACTCCCTGAGAGTACTCGGAAGTGACAAGAGCCTAGGTCAGGGGGTGCTCTAACCTGGAGCAGGGGAGAAGAGCCAAAAGGATGGGGAAATAAGAGAGAGGAAGGAAAAAAAAAAAAAAAAAAAGTAAAAAGGGCTTCCCTGGTGGCGCAGTGCTTGAGGGTCCGCCTGCCGATGCAGGGGGCGCGGGGTCGTGCCCCGTTTCGGGGGGGTCCCACGTGCCGCGGAGCGGCTGGGCCCGTGAGCCATGGCCGCTGGGCCTGCGCGTCCGGAGCCTGTGCTCCGCAGGTGGGAGCGGCCACCGCAGTGAGAGGCCCGCATAACGCAAGGAAAAAAAAAAAAAAAAAAAAAAAAAAAAAAAGAGAGAGGAAGGGCTTTGTGGGTGTTTGAACATACATGTGACATTGCTCCCATTGAGAGATGGGAGTCTATGTCCCCTCCCCTTGAATTTAGGCCAGTCTTAAGGACTGGTTGACTGATAGAGAATGGCAAAAGTGATGCTATGTGATTTGGTAGCTAAGTCATAGAAGGTTGTAGAACTTCTGCCTGGTTCACTGAGCACTTACACAGGAGCTGTGGACTTCCTCATAAGGAGTCCTACCACCCCAGCTCACCATAGTATGAGGAAGCCCAAACTAGCCCAACAGAGAGATCACCCAGAGGGGCCCTGGAGGGAGATGCCTCCAGCCCCCTGAGCTGTTCCAGCTCCAGCACCATCTGTCTGCAACCACACAAGAGACGCCTATCCAGAACCTTGCAGCCAAGCCTTTCTGGAATTCCAGACCCGTGGAAAACCACCAGAGATAAGAAGATGACCATTGTTGGATTAAGCCACTAAGCTTTGGGTGGTTGGTTATGCAGCAACAGTTGACTGATATAGGCCCCTCACCTTCCTTCTACAAATGAGGAAACTTGACTTCCCCGAGGTCACACAGCTTATAAAATGAGAGAGCCACTGCTTTGAGCTCAGCTCAGGGCTCTTTGCCAGCTGTTGGTTAAGTGTTGGTGTCTTTAAAACTCCAGAAAGCCAATCAAGACACAAAGGAGAAGACCCGGGACATCCTGAGCCCTGGAGCATCCCCCTCCATATCTAGGCACTTGAGTGCCTCCTTCCCATCCTTAACTGTCTCAAAATGATAACATTCAGCTTTGTCCCTGGAGCCTGTTTTCTCCCTTTCCGCACCATTCTCTCATGCTCAGAAACCCAAGGTTCCCTGATTTGCACTTAAAGATCGCTTCCATTTGCTCAATGTTTACTGTGTGCAGGCTCAGCGCTAAATTCTTTGCATATATTAACCTCATTTAGTCCTGCCAGGGAGCCTTCCAGGTGTGTGTCATCTCTCCTGCTACCGATGAGCTTGGCATGACATGCCTCCTGTCTACCTGTCTGCCTAGTCAGTAACATGTTCATCTTTCTCCCCTCCACCATGCTCCTGCCTGCCCCCTTCACCTGGGCCACTCCCGCTTAGCCTTGGGGGGGGTCTCAGTGCAAATGTCACTCCCTCCAGGAGACCCTCCCAACACTAAGTTAGGTCCTCCTGTGACTATGATGAAGGGTGGCCGAATATGCCGCCCCCAAATACGCCACTTTGACGTGAGGATTATTTTGAACGAAAGACACTAAAAAAAACCCCAATGAAACAAAACAAAACAAAACAAACCCCAGCAGGGGGCAAGAAGAGCGTTCTGATCTCCCCTTTTTTCCCTGAAAGCAGGAGATGAAACTCCCATGTGAAAAATGTCCTCCTCGTACCAGGAGGAAAGAAATATTCTTAACGCCACAGATAGAGTCAAGGCCAAGTGAACTCTGTAAAAACAGATCTTGTTAAGATAACTCTTATCAATCTTTAGCTTTCCCCACCCCCATATATTTTAATTACTTCTCCACAGTTCCTTCCTTGTTCAAAAGCATGCAGGTTTTGTATAAAAGCATGTAGCTTTGGGCTTCCCTGGTGGCGCAGTGGTTGAGAGTCTGCCTGCCGATGCAGGGGACACAGGTTCGTGCCCCGGTCCCGGAAAATCCCACATGCCGCCGCGGAGCCATGGCCGCTGAGCCTGCGTGTCCGGAGCCTGTGCTCCGCAACGGGAGAGGCCACAACAGTGAGAGGCCCGCGTAATGCAAAAAAAAAAAAAAAAAAAAAAAAAAGCATGTAGCTTTTGCCACTTCTTTGGGTCTTCATCTTCCTGTGGGGCTCCTGTGTGCGTGTAAAAAGCTATATGTTTTCCTTTTGTTAATGGCTTACATCAATTTAATTCTAAAGCCCAGCTGGAACCCCTAAGAGGGGAGAGAAAGTTTTGCCTGCGCTACAATATGCTCCCTCCTGCTCTCTCTCCCGCTGTCTTTTTCAAGCACTCATCACAATCTTGATTATTTTGTGCAAATGTATTTTAATGCCCGCTTTCTTATGCTAGATGTAAGGTCTGTAAGGGCTGTTTATTCTTTTATACGCAGCACTTAGCACAGTGCCTGGCAGGCGCCTGGCTCATGGTCTGCAAGCTAGGAAACCAAGCTCAGGGTTACACTTCTTTTTTTTTTTTTTTTTCTAGCGTTATGCGGGCCTCTCACTGTCGCGGCCTCTCCCATTTGCGGAGCACAGGCTCCGGACGCGCAGGCTCAGCGGCCATGGCTCACGGGCCCAGCCGCTCCGCGGCATGTGGGATCCTCCCGAAACGGGGCACGAACCCGCGTCTCCTGCATCGGCAGGCGGACTCTCAAGCACTGCGCCACCAGGGAAGCCCAGGGTTACACTTCTTAATGCCCGAGGTAAGGTGATAACCCAAGTCACTGGGTTCCCATCTTGAGGCTCATCCTGGCACTGTGGGAGTCTTCCCTGAATCCATCCAACAGTATGAATGGTAAGGGACCCTAAAAGCCCAAAGGAGAAATACTCACATCACAGCCTGCTGGGAGCAGCTGTTCCTGGTGAATTCATAGTTTCTCACCCACCTCCAGGGAGGGATCTTGTGGGTGTATTGAAAGCAGCAGAACTTAGCCACATCACTGCCACCTAAATAAACAGGGAGAGAAAGGAGTTTGGAGATGTCCCTTTGCTTCCATCCCTAGTCAGCCTGGGAAGGGAGTTGGACAACGCCGTACGTGCAGCAGCTCCGAGATGGACACTCAGGATAAAAACCAGGAAAAGAGGGAAAGCCGTGGGGAAGTTCTTCATGGTGCTACAAGCTGGGTCCTTCACAGCCTTTTTCCTAATTCCTCCTGTCTCAGCAGTACCCTCTTTTATGGGGCTGAGTGGTCCCTGAAGATAATTCCAGAGAATTTTACGGTAGAGCACAAAAGCAGCTCTTCTGTACTACAGGGGGAAAGCAACCTGACACCCGTAAAAAGGAGATTGGAAAGTGAGGAGGTGTCATGGGGTGGGAAGGGGAGGAGTCAGCACACCCTTGAGAGTCTCCCAGCCAGTGCGATGGTCTGAGGCAATGCTTGATTGCTTGAAAAGCAAAAGCAGAGGAAATGAAATAAGAATTCCAGAGAATTGACCTTAGTTGTTCCAGGTAGGTTCCTTTTATTTTTTTCGCCGCATGGCATGTAGGATCCTGGTTCCCTGACGAGGGATCGAACCTGTGCCCCCGCATTGGAAGCACGGAGTCCTAACCACTGGACCACCAGGGAAGTCCCCTTTCTTGGTTTTCTAAACACTGTTTATCTCTTGTTGAGGTCTGGACAGTCTCAGGACAGGAGCATAGAGCAGCCTGACCACACAATGGATGTTCAGGAATGAAGCTCCTGGGGAGGGGCTTCAAGATGGCGGAAGAGTAAGACGTGGAGATCACCTTCCTCCCCACAAATACATCAGAAATACATCTACATGTGGAACAACTCCTACAGAACACCTACTGAACACTGGCAGAAGACCTCAGACCTCCCAAAAGGCAAGAAACCCCCCACGTACCTGGGTAGGGCAAAAGAAAAAAGAAAAAACAGAGACAAAAGGATAGGGACAGGACCTGCCCAGTGGGAGGGAGCTGTGAAGGTGGAAAGGTTTCCACACACTAGGAAGCCCCTTCGCGGGCGGAGACTGCTGGTGGCGGAGGGGGACGCTTCGGAGCCACGGATGAGAGCGCAGCCACGGGAGTGCGGCGGGCAAAGCGGAGAGATTCCCGCACAGAGGATCGGTGCCGACCGGCACTCACCAGCCCGAGAGGCTTGTCTGCTCACCC